TACAATTATTACTTTTGCTTCCTCGTAGAGGGAGCTCTGTGATAGGCTCGAAAACGAGATTTTGAACCAGACCTCGTAGGACAATTTGGTTTATATATTTGGAAACTACATTGAATTACCAACAAATGTCTGTATGAGTTTTTTTTTCTCGGCCTTTTGTTAACATTATTTTTTAAGAGGAAGCTCTTTGCCAATAAATTGGCAGCGGTTTTTTCAACTCGAAATTCGATGATTTTCATGATACGATATTTGAAAATTGTATCGGAATTATTATCGAAGTAAAAATGTAATTTATTAATTCCTGGATTATAATTCTTCAAATTTTTCCGACATTTTTGAAATGAAAGTTTTACATTCGCAAAAAAGTACACGAACCATCGGGGTGATAATTATTGTCGACGAAATTCGTAAGGTATAATCCTGTAAATTGTGCCACTTGTCTCAATAAAAACAGGCACCGATTAATAACATCGCGAAATTACCTTTCATAAATTAAAAAAGATTCGCTATATACTCGAAACGTTTATACTCAAATACATATTCAAATTTTAATATACACTTGTTTTTTATGAATAAATACGTACACGCAAACGGTATATAAAATTCGACGCGCGCGCATTGAAATGACATTCGAGTGGCGCTTTTCAAAAATATATATGCACACACACGCTTCGCGCAGAATTTAACTCGAATTTTAAAGCTCGACATATTTTATACACAGCGTGTATGCACTTATAGGCATTTCGACGTGTATACATACGCGAGAGAAGAGAAGCCTATAATAATAACGGAAGATATAATGCATCTTTTTTTTTCCGCCGCTGTTTCGCGAGCTTCCGCGTAATAATATCGCGCGCGTTTTATATACGTACACGCGCGAAACTCGCGCCGGAATCGTATATTTCGCGTTTACTCCCGCGACAAATTAGAAGGATTTTCGCCGCCGTAGCAGCGTGTACGCGCGCGCGCGCGTAATACGAGTTTTGACAAACTTTCGGAATACATAAAACACTGCGCGCGCGCCGCGCCACACGAGTAATATAAGGGCGAAATTATTATCTTCGAATAACACGTCAGGCGGCGGCGGGGCAGCAGCGGGGCAGCAGCGGGGAGGCGCAAGTTTTATACACCATAATTTTCAACTTGCCTCGTTGCGTCGTGTATAACGTGTACGTATAACGCACATAAACACACACGCACACAGTCAAGCCTTCGATGCGCTAGTATAGATTAATTAAAACTTGAAATTTTTGCAACCACACACGCGCGCGCGCAACTTTTCTGCAAAATTTCGTTATATAATTTGTCAAAGCCTCGTCCATTCCACTCTACATCACCCGCGTTAATATCGTGTATTAAATCGCGTCAAAGTTGTAAATCGAAATATCACGTATTACACGTGCGTTCGATGTATCGCATGACCCATGCGCTTGGGGGGTGACGTGAAACACTATACATCGACGCGCGCGGCCCGCTACCGAAAGCTCCTCTCCTCGTCTCTCTCTCTCTTTAAATCACGGAAAAGTGACATTATTAGATGTATCCTTTTATTTGATAAATCTGCTGCCGCTGCTGCTACTGATGCCACCGCGGCGAAGCGTGGGAACTTTATACGGTTGTTGCGTGCGAGAGCTGTTTTTTCCTTCCTTCCTTCCTTCTCGCTTTTCTGTCTCTCTCGTCTTTTTTTTCTCTCCCCCTCCCCCTCCTTTTTTTTGCTTGCTTCTTTTGCCACTACTGCCTAGCGAGCTACTACGCCTCGAGCGGCTCCGTGTCACCCGGAGCGTAGAAAATCAAATCACGTCAGCTTACGTTTACGGACACTTTTCAAACCCTGAGTAGCGACAGAAAAAAAAAGAAGAAGTAAAGTAAAAAGGCGAGTGAAAGAAAAGAAAAAAACCGCGAGAAAATCTAAAAAGGATTAACCCCGAAATGGTGCAGCGAGCGCGCTGGGCATGCAAAAAAAAAAGAGCTCTTGCGAGGGAGAGAAAAATCAATCTCGCATATTGCAACGAAAGAATGATAATAATAATAATAAAAAAAAAAAGTTTCGATAATAAAGCACGCCCGCGCGCGAGTACGTGTGCACGTGTGTGTGTGCCCGCGTTCGTATACCAATCGGGCAAAGAGTGATGGAATTCGTACATTTTATGACGTCTCTCTCTCTCGCTGCGCGCCAGCATATATAGCATCGAGAAAACTCCCGAAACGCCCGAATTCGTCATTGGAAATTTTTTTAAGCGAATTATTACCCACGTTATATAAATAATAATGTATATGTACGTATGTTCCCGAGTGCATGATGCGCTGCCACTGCAGCTCTGCTATAATATATTTATAGAGAGAGAGAGAGAGCGGCCTATATAGAACGTATATATACACGTTTTCCATTCGGAATCGCTCGAGCTCGCTCGACTGACTCCCAAGCCCGAAGTTTACATAACGTACGTCGACGTGCCACGCACAAAAAAACCTCGCGCGCAGTGTGTGCGAAGAAAGGATAAACTAGAAGCTGTCTTATACTGCGTATACGGTATATATAAGCCTTGGATAAATACATACATCATCTCTCTCTCTTTCTCTCTCTTGGAGGCGTCGATAACGACCTTTGGATTGCGCGCAGGCAAAAAAGAAAGAGAGAGAGAGAGAGAGAGTACGAGAGGAAGAAAGAAAGAACTTGGCCTATCTCAAACGAGCATTATCGCCCGAGAAATCAGTGATGCATTCTGCCTTGCGGATTACCTCTCTCTCTCTCTCTCTCTAGATATATATCTGCGGCGCGATGCCGAGAAAAGATTTTGTACTCTGCTCGCGAGTGCCCGGGTGATTAAAAATTTTTTATCCTTTATCCCTTAGGGCTGCGGATATATTATATATTCACGTTGCTGCTGCTACTGCTGCAAAAAAAACCTCGGGATCCAGCCGTGCGCGCGCTACTACTTTGAGAAACTGATTTATTTACCCGCGACAGAGAGGAAGGATACGCGCGTGAGAATTTTAAAATCTTGAATTGCGCGTATTATCCTCTCGCCACGGTCAGTAGTGACGGCGCGCCCGACCAAGCTCTCTCTCGGATCTCGTATAATACTTTATCGTTGTTTCTTTGTAAAAAGAGAGAGAGAGAGAAAAGGAAAGAAAAAAAAATAGAAAAAACTCGGATTCTCTATAGCAAATAAATAAGATTTCGAGCTCTGTAAAGTCTTTTTTAATTAAGTAACTTAACTCTCCTTTTCTTTCGTTTCAGTCGGTGAGTCCGAGTTTCGAGCGATATCTACAGATATATAATACCGTATATGTATTCGCGAGCGGGATACATATAATACAGACGCATACACATACACACACACAGACACAGACAAAGCCAAGCGAAGGAAAAGAGTGGAACTTATTTGAAACAAAGTTTTTTCAAGACGTAGGAAATTCAAGGCTCTCTCTCTCCTTGTCTCCCGAAGAAAACCGCTCGAGATTCTTTGATTTTCACCGATAGATACATATACACACGTACACACGTATACACGTTGACGCGCGAGCGCCAGGATCACGGATATATAATAAAAGTCTCGATAATACTCCGATGTTACAACACCGCGCCACACACACACACAGTGGATATATATAATTTTTTTTTTGTTTCGTTCGTACGGTCGTTCGAACCGATCTTTATTATCTATATAATAATACATATATAGAGAATATATATATATACGAGCGAGAAGCCGAGGAAAATCAACAACTATATTATACGAAGCCCTCGAGAGATTATGAGGGAACCCCCCGCGCGCGTATACACGTTATATAGGTATATATAGCGAAGGGCGGACGAGGATATATAAACTATATAGAGAATTCAATTAATTTCATCTTCGCGCGCGTGTGTGTGTGTATGTGTGTATGCTACGTGTATTTTACTACTTGCGACGTGCAGAGAGAGAGAGAGAGAGATCCGCAACGCCGCGCTGTAATTCGAAAATTGCCCCGCGGCCACGACGTTGCTCCGTACGCCAGCCTCCCCCCGCACGTCCGACGTACGTCCGAGATATTACTGTGTTATATATATTATGATTTTTCGATTACGCGTGTATAAGCGAAGACACTGGAAATTTTTTGTCTCTTGTATTATTATACTGGTTCGCGCACGCACGCACGTGACCTTTATTTTATATGTAAGCACGTCATCCTCAATGGCTGTGAGAGACGACGCAAAAAAAAAGAGAAGAAAGCCTCACCACCGAGGGTGAGCATTCATTTGGGCTCTCTCTAACTTTATTGAAACTACGTATCGAGGGTTGTATACAGCTCGGCTGACGTGGTATATACATTTATAAAAATCGCTCAAAAAAAAAAACACGTTTTAGTGTGATATCTTTGCGCCCGTATGGAAAACTTCGCCGTCTCGTTAATATTCATTTCACAAAAAAGGCCATGTTAATATTGTAAGTGACTTGTTTGATTATGCGAGCACACGTGCGATTATCGATGGGACTTATCAAAAATATAGGTTGAACATTTGCGCCATATAAATATAATAAACTATTAAACAATGTCACCCAATTTTGGCCGGGAGAGGAAGATAGAAATAATGCAAGTTAAGAAAACACTTTCAAAAAATATTTAGATTTTATTTTTTACTATTATTGAGTTTTTGCTTCGAACTAATGTTTCAATAAATAGTTACATATTGTTTTTTACTTTAAATTAATTTTTATGAGCTTACTTCCTAATTTTTCAATCAAAATTATTTTATTTATTTCTAATTTTCTTAAATTAAAATTCTATAGTCGTGAAAATAAATAAATAATAAATAATCAACCTATCGGGATAAAAGCACTGATTTATTTTTAATCAAAAGTAATTTTTTGAACATTTTTAATATTCAATTTTATGCGACAACTGCTTTTTTTCTCATCAATTTTTATACTCGAAAGTGTATTTGAATTTCGCGCTTCGCGCGGCTTTTAAGACCCATGCGCGGCATCTTATGTGCACCACACATTACACGTGTTTTAAGTTGGCATCTAATTTTTGTTTCTAATTGTGAGACGCAGTTGCTTCAGTCTTTATAAATACGTGATAGCGGTAATATCTGTTCTGAATTCTAATATTTTTATGTGTTTCTCAAGTCTTGGTGAAGTTTCGATCGTCTCAGTCGGTGTTCGTTGTCAGTGTTCAGTGCTCAGTATTAAGATTAAAATTTACCATCGAGAAAAATAATTTATCAATAGTTCAATTAAAAAATGGAACAATATTTGAACAATTCGATAAGCGATCTAAAAACTCAAGCTAATGTCATCGCGAGATACATGCAATTTTGTTACGTTGTGCAATTAAACAATAGCTACCGGATAGCAAGTACTCGACAGAATTTAGTAAATATAATAAAAAATAAAAGCATATTTCCAGACATTCCAGATTTTTTAAAATTTGTGGTACATCAAAACCGATTAGAAATATTTGTATTTCTGCGGGAACAAGCAGAGTTCAATATCCACGAGGAAAGAATTGTCGACGGTAATTATTCCATGCTTCATTATCTTATCGAAAAAATAACTATCGATGTCCATGTGTTGCCCATTCCCGAAAAAACCAAGGCCATTATTAATTATTTTTTGGAAACTGCATCGGAAAATCATTGCGACGGTCACGGATACACGTACCTTCACGCGGCCTGTCTCGCCGACCACGTCGAGGCAGTCCAGCGATTCGTGAGCGCCTGCGTGGACGTCGATCTCGACACATGGAGGCTCTCGCCGTTGCAGGTCGCCGTCCACTACAGGCGCCCGAATATCGTGCGAATTTTGTTGGAGAACGGAGCAGACCCGAATCGACTGGACGATCGAGGCGGGTCGACTGCCTTGCACGCGCTCGCCCATCTTCGCGTGTGCGACTGTTCCAAGTACTGCCGGTATTCGAAAGACGAGGACGGACCGATCGACGCGATCTTGGATTTACTCATTGCCAAAGGAATGAATATCGAGGCTCAAAATCGTCTGGGCTCGACTGCTTTGCAATGGGCAGTTTCTCACTTGGATTACGAGCTAACGAGGTCTCTTCTGAAACGAGGCGCGAGTCTCGACCCTTTGAGCAAGCATATGTCGTTCAACCTATTTCCAATGCACGCATTGATTAACTATCCCGTCATTTTTCACTTTGTCGAGATGATACGATTATTGGTGGCGAACGGATTCGTGTTCGACTTCTACACTCGACACGAGATTTTGAAGTTTTGGATTGAAACTCGATCAAAAGATACCGAAGTATTCATTTCTGAAATCGATGGTAGGCTATTTTATTTTATACAAATGACAATAATTCTAATTTATCTGTTATTCATTTTTTTTCTTCTCTGATTAACACAGAAGACGACTACATGATTCCATCGTATGAGGCTACTCGTAATTACCTACTCATTCATGAAATGTTTGGCTTTTACGCCGAACCGAAAACTGTCGAACGCTTGCGTAAACATCTCCAACAAATTGCCAACTATCGCAGCGTAGCGAGAGCAGAAAAAGTCGAACAACTCACGGATCAATGGGAAACCGAAGCGGCCCAATTGAAAAGTATCATGATCAACGAAGACATCTCGCTGTATCAAATTTGCCAAATGAATTATAGCAAGGCATCTCGTATCTTAAAAAAAAAGATGGATTGGCGTTTGCCAACGCTCGACGGCATGGACAAATTGAGTCTCATCGTAAAGAAACACATAGCAAGAGCTTTCATGAGGACACAATTCGAAATGTTCGTAGCCGATCTGTATACGACGGATTATTGTAAACTGAACCTGCCGTATACCGTTTGCCGCGAAATTGCGGAGCACACGAGTGACGAAGATCTGTTCCGTTTGGTCGAGCAGACGAACGACGAGGAGCTATTTAAGGAGGTTTGGAGGTCTCAGAGAGGGACGAAGCGGGACGTATGGTGGCACCTATGTTTTCCCTGGTAAAAAATCGAAACTGACAACTTCGAAATAACACAAAATCATTTTGAAGAGTTCTTTTCGATATTTTAGGCGTGAAACAATATTCTATTTGTGATTAGAGTCAAATAAGCACATATTTTTGTTAGGATACGCACAAAGACCCACGAATTTTTACACACAATTTATTTCTCGATAACTAAACGGTCTATTCGTAATTAAATTTCCTATTATACGTACGTATTTTCAGTTTTTGTTTTTTTACATTATTTTTGTGCTCATTGAAAGTCGTAAATTCATGATTTCTCACAAGAAACCTTGTTGAAAGGTCTAAACAATTTAACAAAATTTTACGGTGAAAAGTTTTATTTTGATATCAACAAACAGAATTCAACTTGGCTGCATTTTGAATGAGACCTCCGAACGTCCTTAAGAGAAAGTAGATGACAGTGCGTCGAAACAAATAATCTTATTTTTACAAGAATCTTTTCAAGGATTCTGATAATTGTATGCCTCTGTCTAAAGATACATTGTAGACGATGTTATATAATTGCGAATGATGTGATATAGATAAAAATTTTGTAAAAGCAACCTTTAGCAATAATTTTAGTAATAAAATCTGTAAATATCAATGTCCCGAATACGCATCGTACTTTCGATACAAATAAATATTCTCGCAACAATATGCTCCGTGACATTTTTCCTTTTTTTTTTTTGTCGATTCCTATCCTATATCCAGTCCGATCATCGCGGACAGATACGGATACGCGCCCGTACGTATATGATAATAAACATCATTTTTATTGACTACAGTAAAACAAGGTGACTTTCTCATTTTCGATAACGTGACGATGGCAGCGGCAGCAAAAGCAGCAAAACCAAGTATACTAGATTTAGCTTCGGCGCTCGAACTCGTTAAAGTTATACGAGCCAAAAAAGAAACAATAATAATAATAATAATAATAATCATTCCATTTTCTTTCTACCTTTTAGCTTTTCTTTCTTTTTTTTCTTTTTTTAATCAAATGAAATAATCTCTCTCGCGGCGCCTCGTAAATGTTTTTCCCCGGCCCCGGAGCGCGCTGGCGGAGTTAGAGAACGAACGAACGAGCGAGCCATAGAGAGAGAGAGCACTAAAACTATGTCTCTTGAACGCTATAAAGTCCCTCTCTCTCTTTCTCTCTCTCTCTCTCTCGTACATTACGTACGTGGACTCGCGCGTGCGTGAAATCCTAATGAATGAAATATTTGTATCCTCGCCTCCACTTAGACAATATATATATTACGTGTATATATCTATGTAGATATACCCTATACGTCTCATTCGCTCACGTTTTCTCGTGCACGCGAGCGATCCCTCATAGCGCCCAGCCGTGTATACATATACACTTATTATACGTTTCCTGCCGCCGCCGCCGACCAGGCACAGCCACGGATTGGCTTGAATGTGTGTTATATATAAAATAATATATACACCCTCACACGTACACATAGCTGCGGCTGTTGCTCGAATCATTCGTTTCATTTTTTTCTTCTTCTACTTCCTTCCCTTCTTTGTTTTTATTAACTGCCCGAGACACGGACGTTGTATATATTTATATACGTAAGCTCGCGATCGTTAAGGCGGGGCGGTAAGAGGCAAGTTAGAGAGAGATAGAGAGACGCGCGTACTTCCACAAGTGGTTGTGAGCTGCTTCGTCTTTCTCTCTCTCTCTCTTTCTCTCAATGATGTGTCTGTGTGTTCTACGTCTGTGTGTGTGTGCGCGCAGTTATAAATGTGCGTGTATATATAACGTAACGTACTCCCGACACGCAAAACTTCTGTACACGTATATACATATACGCGCAAGCTCGCAAGCTCCCGTGTGCAAGTGTAAGTGTGCGCGCGTGTATTTGTACGTATTATTATCACACCATTTCTGTCCAATAAATCTTCTTCAAACTCCATCTCTCCCTGGATTACAAATATATATATATATATGTGTGAGTGTGTACGCTCATGTTTACACAATAACTGTGCAAGGAGCAAATGTGTATACGTATAGGAATATAAATCGATGCCTGCGCGCGAAGCTGTTTTTATTATTTTTTTTATTCTCATTTTCAATACTTGTTTTTCTATAATATATTTTCGATATCTAAATTTATGTAACGGCATGAAAAAAAAAGAAGAAGAAGAAAAACAAATACAGCAACGACGACAAAAAAGCAACATCAGTAGGTCGATTCCTTTCATAAATATCCTTTCTCTCTCTCTGTCTTCGTGTCTCTCATCCCGCATCGCGTGTATTATTACAGTCGCGCGCCGCACACACATATACAGACACATACACACGCCTATTTATCAGCCTTGACACTGATGATATACACACGTCGCTCGCGCGCGCGCCTATATATGCACGGTTATAGGTACGTACATACATGCATCATATATCTCTATGGTAAGTAGTACGTGTGCTGCTGCTGCTGCTGCACATGATGTATGTATTATAATGTTTGTCTATGTATATAACATTAAGCTCGTCGCATATATATATATAACATACACAAGAACGAGCATTACCCCTTGTATAAACGCGTAATGGATGGCACGGCTAATTAATCCCCAATGGCACGGAGGCGGATAGCCGTCGTCGTGTAGTAGTAGCGGGCCGCGCGCAGTCCTTTTGGATCATCATCATCATCATCGTCGTCGTCGTTGTCGTTGTTGTTGTCGTCGTTCACGAGCGTGTCGACGATCTTCCAGTGCCAGTGACAGCAACAGCAGTCGAGCAGCGGCAGCAGCAGGAGAAGGAGGAGGATGTCGACGACGATAACAGCGATGATAATTACGATTACGTGGCGGCGGGCTCGTCCTTTCGAAATCGCGCATTTCTCACGCACACTCGAGTCGTCGTCGCTTTTGTTTATTTATTTATTTATTTATTTATTTATTTATCTATATTTTATTTTTTCTTCATTTCCTTGGATGGACGGTATTTTATCATAACAATAACGCGAGAAGCACCGAACAGGGTCGATCCACTCGCGGCAAAGACGACGACGACGACGACAACGACACTCGGCTGACATCGTCTCTCGCGCTCCTTTCTTTCCTCTCTCTCGTTACATCCTCTTCATTCATTTTTGCGCGCACCCCGCTGTACTATATACATATACATATGTAGCTGCTGCTGCGCGCGCTAACGGCACCTTTTCATTATACAAAAGCACACGAGTGTCGATATGTTATAAACTCTCCTCTCTCTCTCTCTCTCTCCCTCTTCTGCCGCGCACTGACAACACGATGAAAACGTATATGTATTTATATCGAATTGACACACTGACACACAGACGAGTGAAAATCGAGGAAATTGCCCGTCGCTGTGTACACAGGCTGTGTCTTTGACAAAAACGTGCATGGACCAACACACTCGCTCGCTCACTCACGCACACACGAGAACGGGGACTACTGTGCTGGCACGAGCTTTTCTCGCGACACACTACATGCGCACGGTCACATCGCGTTTATATATATATATATATCTCTGTTTGTACGTATGTGCACGATGACTGACCGAGAGAGAGAAACACACGAGAGCGCGCGTGCTGTGCTCTGTGCTGCACTGACGAGCAGCAGCTCTCTCTCTCACACTCACTCCTGTCTCTCTCTCTATCTATCCGCCCGCGCACGCGAGGGCCTAAAAAAGACGTCTGCTTGGCTCGACTAACTCGATATACACTGCCTGACTGCCGCGCGAGCAGCAGCAGCAGACGATGGGGACTCTGTGTTTTATCGCACGTAGTAGTATAGCCTGTGGCGCGCAAGCTCGCGCGATAGTGCATGTAACAACGCGCGCGCGCTCGTGTGCACACACACATACACACACACGCACACATCGACGAACGCGCGGTTCAGCGATCAGCTTATGCGCGAGCTTGCGATCGTCGCTGCTGACATCTGTCGGTATTTTCAGGGAGCTTTACCGCGAGCTCGAACGGGGGGATGTTTATAAACGCGGCAATTTACGAAAACAAAGTTTCAAAACTCGAATCGTGTACTCTACTCACCCGTCTGCGTGCTGGTGTCGAAGAAGGTGCTCGACGTCTCCACGGTCATGGAGGCGAAGGTGCCGTCGGTTATCTGCGCGGAGCTGTCCCTGCGACCACGATAGCGCTGTACCTGCGGATCGTGATCGAGAATTCAACAAAAAAAAAGAAAAGAAACGGGGGAAAGAATAAAGATCGAAAGTGTGGCGGCATATCGATGCTGATGTGCCTGCGGCATGCGCTTATTTTTTCTTTACAGAAGCTTTCAAGCATTAGACTAGATATATATATACAATAAGCAGCGGCAACATTGATGCGTTGATATGCGCATAATCAAATAAAATCATAAAATAATAATAATGATAATCAATATAAAAAGCCATTTTTTCCTGCACAAAAATAGCGTGTATACACAAGCGTGGGCTCGTGCCGTTCGAGCCTGAATTGGGACATATACCCGAAGTACCTGGTCGTCGCTCTGGGAACTCTGTCGGCGAAAATTGCGACACCTGATCATCTCCTCGGTGGTGCTCTGCCTACGAAAGCCCCTGGCTATCAGTATCTCCTCGGTCGTCGATTGTCGGCGTATCACCGGGGCGTGCTGATTCGTGCTGCTGGGCGGCCGGCCGCACGGGCTGGGATCGCGCGACGAGCACGACGAGCTGTCGGGCGATCTACGACAATTATATATTTTTGTAAATTTTTTCAGACCAGAGAGAAGATGACAAAATAAAAAAAAAAACATTCAAAGTAGTATACCTCGGCGATCGGGCCGCCATCGAGGTCGATTGTCGTCTGAGTCTGCCTTTGCGCGATCTGCAGGGGCTGAGGTCGCGCTTGTCCAGCCCGGCGTTGCGATCGGGACTGAGGTGGCTGCGCGAGTCGCGCCGCCTCGAGTACGAGGCCGAGTCCGGACTCAGCGAGTCCCGGCGCGCCTTCCTGCCGCCGTCCGCGTCCGGGTCGGGCGACAGAGTGGGCTGCGAGCCCCTACGCCCCCCGGGCGGTGGCAGCGACTCGTCGATGGCCGTCGCCTGTCGCGTCAGTCGCAGCTTGTTCGGCGACGTCTCCTTGCCGCCGCCCGGGCTCTTGTAGTAGCACTGGGTCGTGGAGTCGCGTCGCCCGGCCATCAGGGCCGGATGCGACGGCGTGCCGGCGATATTGGGCGAGGCCAGAGGCGACGAGCCCTGGGACGGCGTGGTGCCGGGCAGGGGCAGGCTTTTGAGGCCGACGACCGGCGAGACCGACGACGGCGGCGTGACGCTCGACGTGACGATCTGCGGCGGCTGCACCTGCGGCTCGAGGCTCAGATGGTGCTTCGGGCACGCGGAGTGGCTGCTGCTGCTGATGTTGACCTCGGACGTGCTCGTCGTCGCCGTGACCATGGTGGGCGAGCTGGTCGTCGCCTTGGCGTCGAAGCTGCTCGATCGCTCCTGCTGGCTGCGTTGCGCCTCGAGATGTTCTCTGCAATTATTATATGAAAAATAAAAATGTTAGTTATGCTGAATAACTGTCAGAATGTGGTTGATTTCATTCATATCATAGCCTTGTAATTGAACAATGGTGGATTGAGTTTAAAAATGAGCATTTGGATTAGTTGTAGAGTATCAAATTGGATTTGGATCCATGCGATGAATAGTTTTCCTTTTCCAACCAAAAGTACAATTTCTTACCGTACACGTAAAAAATAAATTTTCTGTTTCAAAGTTGAAAACCAAAATGTGCAAGCTATTATCATGAAATTTGAGTATGTACTTCATCTAACTATTTTATAATAGCTTGTAAAATTCTAGATCAATAGCATGAATAATTTAAATTGTTCAACAAAAGGTATATTTTCTTGACGACAAGGTATAAATGAGATTTATTATAAACGCGTGCGTATTCGTTAGCCACCGTCGAACAAGTAGCACTACAACTACTAGCTAGTAGTATCAGCTGTATACCTGACTGCGTTACTGGCCGAACTGTCGGTACTGGAGGCGCTCGGCCGCTGGTCGTTGCGATAATACTTGGCAGCTGCACTACCGACGCTGCTCTGATTGTTGAGCAGATCGACCGACTGCTGCGACTGGCGCCGCCTGTGATGCCGGCACCGGTGGACCCTCTGATGGCTGCCGCCTCCACCCTGTTGTTGCGAATCCGCCGCGGCCGCCGACGACGGGCTGGGAGTCTGGCCGTAGACCGAGTCCCTGCGCGATCTCGAGCTCTCGCCCGAGTCGCGCCGGGAGTTGCCGCGCGATTCCCCGGAGCCTGTGTATATAGCAGGAGAGCGAGGGGATGAAGGAAATTACATCCATACCGCTGGCTATGTACATCCAACGCGCGGGGTATACGAGAGACGTGTTTTGCCACTTTAATCGCGTGTGTTGGCTTTTGTAAATATTGACGCAAGCGGTTGGCAGCAGCGGCAGCGCCGGTAAGCGAGAGAAGAGAGAGAGAGAGAGAGAAGCCCCGAGATTAGATTGGCGGTATAGGGAATACCAACGAAGCGTGAGAGAGAGAGAGAGAGAGAGAGAGAAAAAAGGAAGAAGAAGGAGAGAAGAAGGGCAAAAAAGCTCAATCTGTGTAACACGCGCGCGTACATAAACACGAGGCGAGATTAACTAATTAAGAAGAAAGGCTTCGGGTGTAGCGGGATAAATTTGTATGCATAGGCTGAACGTGTTTGTTCTGTTTTTTTCTTTTTTTTTTAGAAAATACTTCAAACCGTTTTGCATCGCACTCGTTTATCCGATAACGTTTCGTTGGATCAATGGTTTTAAATTTGTGAACCGGTATTCGGAAAGGTCAAAATGAACGATTAAACATTTACATTTGATTTCGGGTCTTCGACGATAATTGATTTAAAAATAACTCGCAGTGTCGAGAGCAGCAATGCGAACGAGAACTATGCTGTAGCAAGACACTAACAAGGAGATCATTTCAGCTCTAAATAATGAACCTTTTCCAAAAATGTTTCGAGGTCTCCTGATACATAATAATAAAGCTTCCTATGCTTGATTCGAGTCCCATTATGTTGAAAGTGTTTTCTGTTTTATTTAAAAATCTTTGCGATTTTCTATCCAAGTATTATTGAGTAAAAAAGTATTAAAATTTTTTGGACAAATCTGTAAAGAGCCGAAGTGACCTCCTCGTCAGTATAGCACCTCTTATTTTTCTTTCCGCCTCTTTTTTCCCAATATACGCACCTCTCCTCGTGGGCGATATGACCGTGGGCGGCTGCTGCTGCTGCGACTTGTCCTCCTTCTTGCCCCACAACCTGGCCAGATCGTTCTTAAAATCGCTGAAGGCCGAGTCCCTCCTCGTAGTGGACTTGTTGCTGGCCGCGCTGCTCCTGATGCCGCTGTCCACCGAGCTCTCGCGTCTCTTACCGAACGCCGCCGACAGTCCTCCACCTCCCCCGCCTCCTCCATCGGTGGTCGTCGTGCAGGTGGTCGTCTGCCTCGCCCAGGGCTGCGACTTGGCGATGTCGGCCAGTGTCTCGCGCCTCGACAGCTTCGTGCTGCTGCGCTGGCTGCCGCCCTGCTGCTGCTTGGACAGTCCGCCGGGCCTGAGCTCGCGCAAGATGTCCGTGAGCTGGGCCAGCGAGGAGCGACGCCGACGGCCCTGGGCTATGGGCGACGGCTCCTGCAGCTCGCCCGGCGGCGAGATCTGCGCCGCCGAGTCTCGTCGACCCGCACCTAAATTAGCACACATCGTAATGATAATAAATTTCAATGTAAAATGTGTAATTACACGAAGGTATTCGACGCGCGATGGCAATTGGAATTGAACGGGTGCAGGAATTCAGCGCTTTCTTTTACCTACCCGCTATATATGGGCGAAGGAGAAACGCATACTTTAACGAAGCTATTTTCACATAGCCGTCGTTTCTGTATCGTACGTTAAGTATATATAATATCGCGCTTACGCGCACGCAGCAGCAGCAACGATCGAGGCTGATCCTCCGTACCGAATAGTTTTAGAAACTGCTGCGCCCGAGCGAATTACGAGAGAGAGGCGAAATAGCTGTGTATACGATTATATACCCAGCGTGAAAATTGTTTAAGCGCATATAATGCACGATGATGATGATGATGATGATGACGAGGATCGCGAGCGCAGCATAACTACACGCGGTTCGGCACCGCCGGCGGTGGTTTCTCTATCCGCGATTCTTCATTATTATTATGCTTACCCAGACGCTGCTTCAAGGTGGACTCTTCGACTTGTTCGCGGACGAGGTCGTCCCATCCGTTGCCGCCCTGCCATACCAGGCCGACCTGGTGGCTCAGGATCGGCAGGTTGCAAACGAAGCAGATCGCCGTCATAGTTCTGCAAGCACACGAGATGCCGAAAAAAAAAATAGGATCGCGAGAGGATCCGCATTAACTAGTGTATTTTTTTTAGATAGCTTCGTATATTCTATGTAATTTTTTGTTTCTTTTGAGATTCGAGTCGACGGTAATTTCATATATAGCACACAGAGTTACAGGATTGACACACATTTATAGCGAGTGATGCATTCGTGCTGTCTATATCATGCCGTTTTCCGCTTGTTTGTATAATAATAATAATACGGCCGAGCTTAATGTATAAACGCGATGAAAATCAATTTTCGACGAAATCAAACGTGACGCGCGCGACAAGTGGCGCTTTTGCGATATCGAGCATTTATGCGACACGCATTAAGATTATTAAAAAAAAAAAAAAAAACCATAAAATNGCATTAAGATTATAAAAAAAAAAAAAAAAACCATAAAAACAACGACGACAACGACAAAATTGAATAATCGATCGATTATCAATGACGTAATTGCACGCGTGGGTGAGGGTACACGCGATGAATAAATCAAAAGACACCGCACGCGGGCAATAAAAAGCGCACGAAAATCGAGTCAACGAGATGCCCCGGCCATTTGCATATTATAAATTCGTATATAATGCGCGTGTATATCTATTCTATTACGTCGAAAGCTCGTGGGCGATTATATACATATTCATAATACATAATTCAGCGCGCAGACGCGCGGCACGTGCGCGTCGTTAAATTACAAAATTATGATGATATATATATATATATGTGTATACAGAGAAAATGAGAGCGCGCGCGGCGATCATCGTATTATAATATAATATAGCAGCGGCAGCAACGCAGCGGCCCGACATACGTACCGATTTGCGCAAAATTCAACGTTTCGCGATGAAAAGCTGAAAAGAGCATCGGAGTTGCTGTTGTTATTATCGAGCATTCGCGTATTAACCGTACGCGCGAGTGAAAGAGAGCAAAATATAGAGACAGCTATATGTACAGCGAGAGAGAGAGAAGTCATTTTTGAAGCATTGATGAAAACAATGCGCTCGAGCATTGTTCCGAAAATACATGTTTGTCGTGCATACATAGGTATAATACTACACACATCGAACGATAAAACACACATGCGAGTATACAATGTACTACGAGAGCTAGTCATTCATAAAAGGCGCGAGTATTAAACTGCAGCACACGAAACATATTACAATGATAATGCTACAGCCCGGAGAGTGAGACGCTTCGTGATGTACACTATAGAGGCGAAAAGAGATAGGTGCGACGGTTTTGATTGTGCCATTTCTATGTTTACAGTAACGGTGAAAGAGAGAGAGAGAGAGAGAGATGAATTTTAAAACGTGAGAAATATAATTATAAAACAAAATTGGCGCAGAGAGTAGAGAAAAAAGAGAGAGAGAGGCAGAGAGAAAGAGAGAGAGATGGAGAAGAAAAGTGTATAATATAATCCCAGAAGATGGATATTATGCTCGACCTGTAGTGTCGAAGTCTTGGGCTTGGCAGCGACATCGCATGGCAATAACGCACGGGCCAACCTGAAAAACAACACATACACACGAACTGTTTTTTTTCTGTTTTGTTGCTGTTGTTGTTTTTTTTTAACTTCTCTCATTTGTAAAATAAATGTTGAATTAATTTTTTTTTTCCTTTTTTTTTGTACTTTTTTTTTCATTTTTAATTTGTGTGTAAATCCGCGTGTGTTGCTCTCTCTTTCCATTAAAAAAAAAGGACAACGAAAAAAAAAAGAGATTTAAATAAATATGTAACTCCGCGCGGGATTTTCTACTGTATATTCATTAATATATGCATGTTCAAGTGGTACGAGTCAGCTCTATGGTCAGACACAGCTACAACAACAAATATGTATATTCATGGGAATTCGACCATTCTATCAATGGCGAAGTATGCAAGAGGGGGTCAGGGGGTAGGGTAGGTTACATTCATTTATCTTGCGAAAAATTATGTACTTGAACATATTTTGGCTTTTTGTGCTTTTAAAGGATACACAGACACTTTGGTGTCCTATATATATTTAAAGGGTATCAAATCTAATGCATATCGTAATATTATTATTTTTATTTATTCGTCATTTTTATCTCTCGATCGATCGATGCAACGTAAATATTTTTTCTTTTTGTTATAAACATTCAATCTAATAACGATCAAAATAATATAATACGTGGTAATAAGGGGGAATAAACATTTAATTGGGTTCAAATGCAAACAGCGTCGACTTGCGCACACATGATTTCTAAATTATTTATACCGGTACGCGCGCAATTTGGGGCGGTGTATAAATTAGCTCTCGCTGTGGCGCCGCCACGTACTGCAGCACGCATTTATACACATCGCCCGAGTTTGCGCGCGTACGCGTGGTGTAAATTATGTTATTTGTCTTGTGTAGTGTGCCTGTGTGCATGTTGGTGTGCGAATGAATTCGTGTTTTTGGCTTTACAATCAAACGTCGACGGGCGCGCGACAGTTACCGCAAATCCAATGGAGGTCAGTCAACGAAACGAGCCGCGCCGCACCGCGCAAATGAACTTACACACACACACGTATGTGTGTATACATACATACATACGTAACAAGAGTCATTCATCCATTTCGCACGTCTCTCGGGTTCTCTCTGTAGTATAGCCGAGGTAAATAACGCCCGAAACTCGCGTCGAGAAACTAAACTTTGCTACGCAGCGAGGAGTGCGAGTCGAGGATTACGCACCGTACCGTATATAACCGGCCAAGACATCTGTTGCCTCCGCCTCCGCCGCCGCCACCACCCTCCGCATGGTATAACAAGTAGTATAAGGGCGTTTACGACAGACCCCGTAGCTTGACCGATGTTATATATCTATATATATAAGAGCGTGTGTGGGTACGTGTGGTGGTGCTGCTGCACCGAGTCGTATAATAAATCGAGTTTGCAAAGAGCATTTCTGTGTTTGCGCTCGTCAAACTAATGCTTAAACATATACGTGGCAGTAGTGGCTGAGCAGCAGCAGCGTCGCGACGACGACGAAGACGATGAAAATCATTGTATACATATATCAAAGATAAGAGAGAAAGAAAGGAAGAATCTTGTATATAACGTACGTTTATGTATATTACCGGAGCGCACGTCGTGTGGGGCGGGAGAGAAATATTTTATGCGCCGCCGCCCGACGACGACGTCGATACCACCATCATCATCCTCCTCCACCCAAATTGAATTTTACGGTTCGTTTGATGCTCGCCGCGCATCATCGTCGTATATAATACGATGATAAAATACGTACACAACGAAGCTCTCTCTCTCTCTCTCTCTCTCTCTCTCTCTCTCTCTCTCTCTCTCTCTGCGGAGGTGCATGAAGTCGAAGGATACTTGGCGCGTGATTATGTAAATACTCTCCCTCGCATATTATTATTTGCATCGAAGGCTCGTCTTAATAAGGATTTTCGTGAGGCTTAACACGAGGCACACACTAACCTACTCGTACACATCGGCAGTGTAGAGAGAGAGAGAGAGAGAGAGAGAGGGGCAATATCATCATATTATTACGCGCGGCGTTTATTGGCTGCCTGCCATGCGCGCGAGCATTAGGCGGCTGTGTACGTTTTCGGGCCAGTGATACTAGCTATATATGGCATCGCGTGGATTTAGCCCGCCTCTGCCCCGAGGTATATAAGGTTCGTTCAACTGATGATGATGATGCTGATGATGATGCTGCTGCGATTAAATATTCATGAAGCTAATAATAAATGAGAAAATTGAACGACGACCGAACGACCGACCAAGTATCGGAGAGCTTATTTTTTTTGCCTTTCATCTTTATCGTTATTATCGTTATTATTATTATTATTATTATTATTATTAGTATCTTGGAGCTGCTGTAAGCCACACCGCCGCCGCCACCGATAATTTCCCTCGCGGTCTAGTCTATCTTTCTTCGTTCCCTTTTTTTTGTTTTTGAAAAATTAAGTCGGAGCATAAATTAGAACCCGAGCGCGTGCCGTTCCTGTTTTCACAGAGCCATACTTGTGTATTAGAGACACGCGCGCCCACGAAACCGGGAAAAAGGAGAAAATATCTATATACTCGGCTACAGCGAAATTCTTGAAACAAAGAGGCCCACAGGGGACGAGGGGGAGAGGGAGAGAGAGAGAGAGTAGTACAAGCGGATACGCGAGCCCAGCTTGAGAGAAAATTAATATTCAGCCTTTACAAAGATTCCTATCTCTCTTTCTTTCATCCTCCCTTTCCTCCTGCAAGAAGGGAAAGAGAAAGAGAAAAAGGAGACGAATCGATGAGCATACCTAGCCCAGCTACCGATGAGAATGAAACATGCATCTATATATCTATACGTCTGCTGTGTATATGTAAAGAAAAACTGCTCGCGATAAATCACGATCGGTTATTGGCAGAGGAATAATAGCTGCGCGCCATACAACAGCTGCGGTCTGTATCATTGCCGCCGCCGCTGCTGCTGCTGCTGCTGTGGGTAAGATATATATCTATTTCCGTGACTGCGCACAGAGAGAGAGAGAGAACCCTGGAGCTCTGCTGCAGCAGGAGGAGGAGGATGAGAAAAAAAAAGGACGAGACGATCTTCTCGCGCGATATTCCTCATCCTTCTGCTATCCACTAGTTTTTTTTTTTTTTTTGTACTCATGAAAGTGAGGGGAAACAGAAATTGGAATTTTCAATTTGTAAAAAAGCAGAAGCGCATAATAAATTCGATACCTCGTTCGCTTTCCTTTTTTTTTTATATTATCATCTTACGCGACGATCTTCATTTATTTTTCATTATGAAAATTGACTTTGCGAGCCAAAAAAAAAAAACCGGCATATTTTGTATATTATAGACTTGCCTTTGGAGCACGACGACGGTATACGGCCCAGCGAGTTTATATTTCTAACAAAAAATGACGAAGACTCGTCTCTGTATACAAGGGCTCTGACCGTTGCGCAAACACACACACACACACACACACGTACGAGAGAGACAAAAGAAAAAGAGAGGATCATTAGCGAGTAAGTGTGTGTGTGTGTGTGTTTGTGTGTATTATATACGATGTTGTCGTCCGTGTATAAATACGCAAGTATACACACACGCACACGTGTTTGTGCATGTACATAGTATGTGGTTATACACGATGACCCGTGAATAATATTAAACTTCAAAGACTTTGTCCGTAACGTACAATATTTCATCGGGTCGCATCCCCGGTACACGTCGAGGGTTGAAACTTTTTAGAAACGACCACCTGGAGACGGAGTAAGAAGACTCGTACGTGTATGTGTGTTTGTGTGTGTGTACGGAAAAGAAGAAGAGAAAAAAAATTGGTATGACGTTCCGCGCGCGCGAGCTGAAGTTTTTGGTTCTCTCTCTCTCGGTCGCGCGAAAGACTAAACTACTGGGAAAAAAAAGAAGCAGCTCGTGGAATATAATGCGTCGCACTGCGAGCTTTCTCAATAATTCAGAGCTAATGCGTAAGTGTCCGTGTCTCTGTGTGTGTGTGTGTATATTTGCGTGTGCTCTCCGCGCGCTAAAAGAACGTAAATATATGAGTCTTTAAGAACACACCGGGAGCTTTTCCTTCCCTAAAGAGACAAATGACACGCGGGGACTTTTGTGTTCGAGCAGAGAGAGAGGGCCACGACGACAAGTTTCTTCTCTCTCTCTCTTCCTCCTCTCTTCTTTCTTTCTTCCTTCTGTGTGTGTGTGTAATACGTTGTAAGGTATCATTCTTCTACTCTGCCGCGCGCGGCGTATCCGAGAGTCGTCGTCCTCGTCGTCGTCGTCTCTCTACGCGCTATAAATGCCTCCAAGCCATTTTTCACCAGAGCGAGCGAGATTATAGATACGAGTGAAGAAAAAAAAAATAACAGAGAAGACGAGCAAGAAGAAGAAGAAAAGTCTGTACACGCGAAATATCCGATTTATATTACGCGTATATACGACACAACGGGTAAATATTTTTTTTTTTTTTACTTTTTTTCGACCATTGCTTTTTATTTTATACGTACACACGTACGACGCATAAAACACAGCGCGTGCTGCAGCGTGAGTAGAGACGACGACGACCTTAACCCATAAATTCATCCGAGTTTAAACGCGTACTCGCGACCGCGCGCAAAACTATTTCCGTTGTTTTTTTTCCCTCCTCTTCGTCGTTGTATCGCGCGATAATATTTTTAGCCCTTCCCCCTTTTCTTCACTTTTTCCGAATCGATTGATTGTATATATTTTTTTTTGCATAATGTAATATAAAAATTGTAATGCAGTACGGCTGTCGAGACGCGAGGCTCGTTAATCACGTAAGACCCTGTAATATATCTTACTGCTGATTTACACCATTGGATTCCAGCAACGGTTTATATACACAATACGTATATGGGTCTTCTTCATCTTTTCCTTCCTCGTTTTCTCCACGGAAACGTCGTAACGTGGGCAATTATTATAATACGCGATAACGACACTCTCCGAGCGTCACACTTCTATAAGATATATAATATACATTTCCTAATAAGCCAGTGGACCGAGGCATTGAATTTCCATTTTTCCGCCTGTATTGTATCTTCGAGTGCTTCGAGAAAGAGAAAGAAAGAGAGAAAAAGCAGCCACCTGTTACCACATTCCGTGTATATTACAGCCACCCGCTGAGAAATTCGCTTTCGAATTTTTGTTTTTGCGTTATTTTCACCCTCCGAAACTTCTTTTGTTCATTCCTTTTTTTTTCGGGCGGGCGGGCGGGAAAAGGATCTTAATGCAGTCACTCGGTCGAGAGTGGGTCCGGTACGGCAGCGAATACGATGTTTTGTGTATATATACACGAGCTCTCTCGATAAAATATTGATTTTGCCTGTCACTCTATCTCTATATTATATAGCGTTACTATACGCTGACACGGGGGCGCGCAAAAATTGATCTCCGGGCAAACGAAATTATGTAATTTCGCAGCCCATTGTTGTTTATATAGACCAAGAGCCGAACAGCGCTCGAATGTGTATGTATCGACAGAAAAGTGAGAGAGAGAGAGAGAGAGAACAATGTGTGTAGTTTGAAGTGCTTTTCTCCTCTCTCTCGCTCTCTGACCAAGCAGGAACGTCGGCGGCAGCGGCGGCGATCGCAGAAAGTCGATAAAACGCTTTTGACCCTTCTTTCAACCATTTGCACCCCACCCCGTCCGTCGTTTCGAGCTGCTGCTGCTGCTGCGCACACGTGAAATTTACTATTCGATTATGATGGCAATCGGTAAACAAAGCTTATACACACACATACGTACAGAGAGAGATCGTCCCGAACCTGTATCAAATATAGACGAGTTTGTTGTTTGACTTTTTATATTTATAAAATACAACGACCGTGAGATAGAGATAGAGATAGATAGATCGAGCTTGACTGCCGCGCGAAAATGATTTTTAATCGAATAACTTTTTTAATTATCCGGCTCGAGCGACGACGAATGGAACTTTGCGATATTTCAAAGACACACATCGAAAAATACGTTTTTCAAAATATACGCGCGTACGTATATACGTATTGTGCGCGCCGAATTTATACGATATATACACGCGTTGCGCACTTTTTTTTCATTCTGTCTCTCTGTGCGCGCAGTTATATAGTAGTACAGAGACACAGAGGGAGAGAGAGAAGGTAAAAAAAAAGAATGTATATCACGGTGATTGATCGGGGCGTATCGCGTATGCACGGAAACGAGCTCGCTGCGAATGATAAATAAATAAGATAAAGTTTCAAACTTTCGATGCGTGTGTGCGAGTTTATACGCAGCAGCATTAGCCCCTCTATATATGGCCTCAACGCAAAGAGGAGGAGACTTATTATTTTTACGTTTTATGTAAGTCTACGTCTATAATATTCTTATATAATGGGTCCACGCGTGTACGACGAAAGCTCCAAAGCTCGAGGGCTCACGAACAATGTGTGTGTGTGTGTACGTGTAACTCGCATGCCTTTTTTTATCGATCGAAATTCTTAATAACAACAACAGCAGCAGCAGCAGCTAAAAAGGAGTCGAGGTATATATAGGCGTGTGGCGGGGGGGAAAGCAAAAAAAAATCTAAAGTGGCTGCTATACAGCCCTCTCGACCACCAAAGGCAAGTCCATATACGCTCGGGCGGTGCGCGCAAAAAAAGGCACAGGGTAGAGAGGAAGCAGCACACAAGCGAGAGAGAGAAGATAAAAGTCGTACACGTCGGCCCCCTTGAGCTCGCCACTCGACGCCGACGACGACGACGAGGATAGACACGTCGACGTGTCTTGACTGTTAAGTCCGAGGCATTAGGTTCGAGCTTTAGCTCTCACGCTCTCGCTGTGTGTGTCTCTCTTTTTTCCTCCAACACACATACATACACTTCAGACACTCGGTATTGCCCCATTGACCAAAAAGCTCGGGGAAAAAGGGAGAGAGAGACGAGTTGCCGTGTAGTAGAAGACGACGACGACGAAGAGGAACGATGTAACGAGGCAATAAAGTTACGCTTACATATAGAGAGAAGAGCCTCGAGATCAGGTGCGAATCGCTGCTCTTATAACGTATACGTAATGTATATACGTATAGACGATTGCTCGGCTATATATACGAGGGCATTGGGGCACCGACGCTTTACGATGTGCACATTGGCCCTCCGGAATAATATATGTCACTCGTTTGCCTTTGCGAAATTCGATACTTTATTTCTGTCTATCGCTCTCTCTCTCTCTCTCCATTTTTCGTTTAATACTATCAACCACTCGTTCGAGTCATATCGACGCGTAGTAGCCGAAAAGGTATAAAATAAAGACGAAAAAAGAGGAAAAAAAAATTACGTCGTCGAATTTGTCGTCGTCGTCGTCGCGAGCGCGATAATACGAGAAATCAAGCGCGGAGTAATTTGCGTCATCGGGTGCTTGCGCGCAGCTTTTGCCTCCTCTATGACGCGACTATATACACTCACCGAATGAGAGAGAGAAAGAGATTGAAAAATACATATTTTACTCGGAAAATGTATAATATATAGTTACTTGGAACTGTGCTGTGTGTGTCTGTGTGTGCTGCTGCGGCTTGCTCGCTATCTGCTGCGTCAGATATTATACTGGGAAACTCGAGAATTTGCATAGATAGCCCCGCGCGAGTTTTACGCGTGAGATAATACTCCGAGCTACTCCGCGTCTCTGCGTCTATATGTGTACGTTTGCGCGCGTCTGTGTGTCGAGTATTAGTAATTCAGTCGAGTGCGGAATACGCGCGCGCGAGACGAGTATTCATCGTTTATTATTCGAGGCCCCCGCGCGCGATTTTATGGCCATTTTTCTTTTGTTCGAAACAAAAATAAAAAAAAACGATGTACGTAAATCGACTGCCCCCAGCGTTTCGTGTGTATTGTTCGAAATCGGTCTGCGCGGAGAGGTAGGCAATAAACAGGAGGAGAGGCCGATGGATAGATATAAAAGAGCCGGCGGAAGAAACGAGCCGATAGTAACAGTCGAATATCGAAGAGCTCAGTAGAGCGGAGAGAAAGAGAGAGAGATATCCAAAAGAGAGGAGAGATCGAGTGTCAGATTTTTTATCCATTAGCAAGGATTATATACTACTCCTCTCTTCGTTCTTATCCCTTTTTTTTATTCGTCCTATACTTTTGCGAACATGAAAACCGTATTTCTCGGATTTGCACTGCTCTGCGTCGTCGTCTGCGCCGTCTCGGCTACCTCGGAGAAGAAGCAGCGCGGCGAGGGTGGCAGGGAACGCCTGGCCGCCGTAAGCATACTTAACTCTACTTTTTTACTTTTCTCTAATCTCTCTCTCTCATATAATCGCGATCGAAAAACTTTTTCTTTTTCTTTTCCCCAGTACTCGCAGTACCTGCCGAACTACGACGCCAATCTCGAGTACGAGCTCGAGCTGGCCAACGCGCTGAAGGGCATCATGAACGGGATCGCCGAGAGACTGGGCTTCGCCCAGCCCGTGGCGACGGGAACCGGCTCGGGCAGCGGCAACGTCGCCGGCGAGACCAGCAACAGCGGCCGATTTCGAGGCAATCTCAACATCTTCGGCGGACAGCAGCAGCGGGGTGGTGGAGGCGGTTTGAGCGGACTGTTGGGTGGTGCTGGTCAGCAGCAGCTACCTCAGGAGCTCGGAAATATCCAAGTCGAAGTGTTGCCTCAGTAATTAATGGAGGAGGAGGAGGAGGAGAGCGAGTCTTTGATGACGGCGAAGTAGTTTATAACGATTGTAATAATAATAATAATAATTTATATATGAAGTGAAAATAAAAATTCGTACTCTAAAACGAAAACTACACGAGTGAAGCTCTCTTTATAAACATCCACATAGTAACATATATTTTACAAGCGCGGGGAAGTTGCGCGTCTCATTAAAAATTTTACCGTCTCTCGACTCTGCGCGCCGCGGCCCATTGCCTCGCGAGTAGTGTGTCCTTAACAATGCGTTAATTCTCGCGCGACGCAGCTCCGACTCTCGAGATATAAGCTCTGCAGCAGCAGCGAATGAAAATCATCCATACGAGCGCGTTATAAACGTTTACGTGTGTACTTCTTTTTTCCGACGCCGTAATTTTGTTTCGTATATACACGCCGCTAACTCGCTCGTAATGTGTAACTGTGTTATACGAACGCACGCGTGACGGACTTTTAGCGCCGCGAGGCTCGCTCCGTGCAATATACGCGTTTTAAAGCGATCTCGCTTAGCGATGGTGTATATGGTGGATTCTCTGTCGGAATAGGGTGTGTCTAAAATTCTTCTTTTTTTTTATTATTAAAATTTTTAAGCCCTTCTCTCTGATGTTCCTTTTGTCAAAGTCTCTCAATCTTTCGAAAAAAAAGGATCTATGACTTCTTCATCAAAAGCTTTTAGACAACAAAAAAAAAAAAATAAATCATTCTAAAAGGATCCCCGAGCACTACTCCGAAAGCTCGCGCTAGTAGCATCTGTCGCGAGAAACATAAAGCTCGAAAAATCTAATCACGTTCGATCCGCAGCTGCAGCAGCCTGCCTGCACCGCCCAAATAATTCAGAGCGGCTTTCTCACATTGTCACAAAGAAGTATACGGCACGGGGCGCGCAGCCTTCTAAATATTCGTAAATGGAATCGATATAATCCCGAGCTATCGCAAAAAATTCAAACGCGCGCGGTGAAAAATTTAACGAACGAAAAAGTATTCTCCGATATAATTCTCGGATCACTTTCTCCGTACACGATGACGCGAAAAAAAAAGAATAAAAAAAAAATGATCATTCGAGTCGTGTTCGCACGATTCGTCGGAGAATCGGTCATGTATGTATTATGTACACACAACACAGAGTGCGCGAGTACAGAGATGAAATTTCGCCCCCCTAAAATGCCATAATCGTGAAAATTTAATGCAACCAGATATCGCGCGCATTTGTCCGCGGAAAATCAATAAAGCGCGTGTATACAAGCTGCATGGTCACACACACACAGATGCATCATCATCATCATCGTCGTCCTATCCCCCAACGGAGCCGCGCGACGAAATCACGTATAAACATGCGTATATTACGGCAAATAATCATCGTCAAAGCAGGTGTCATCAGCTGCGCGCGTGTATTATTACGTTATACATGCATATATCGATCTCACACGCATATATTATGCACGACGGCGTATATACGGGGACACACATCGTGTATGACTATATAGCTCGTCGCGCGAATATTCAAAGGAATTCAATACCCGCGGCAGCGACGACGACGACGACGACGCGGAATCTCGTTCGTTATTATACACGCCAGCCACCCCCCCCCCCCCCCCCCCCCCCCCCCNCCCCCCCCCATCCCCTCGCACGAACAAAACCTACTGGTACCACTACTATTACTACTACTACTAGCGACGGTGACGAAAAAAAAGAATAATAAAGGAGAGTCACAAAGCCAGAGAGGCAGCGGCGTTGCCGCGTGTCACCCGCACACACACGCGTGCGTATAGAGAGACAGACGCGCACTGTCTCGCTTCGAGAGATGCACGCAGAGACGGAGAAAGGACGATAAAACTATCGAGTTTCGTACTACCATGGGAAAAAATAATGAGCGGTCGAATGCAAAAAAAGCGGCAAACGACGGAGAGCGAAAAAAAAGTATTTATACGCGGGAAAAGCTGCTGCTGGACGCAGAAGAGCAAAAAACACATTCCCTACTGCAGCGGCTCTCGCGCTGCGATTCGTGCTGCTGGCCGAGCGAGCGATGTGCAAACGTGTCCTGCCTCTCTGATACATTTGTATATCGTGTATGATGAAACACGCGTGACAGCTGCTGCAAGTCAACACATAAGCACACCTACACACGAGTCGCGCGCATTATATTAAAATCAAGCGGTCGCAATGAGTTTTTCTTTCTTTCTGTCTTTTTTATTTTTTTTTTATTTTCGAAACGACGCTCTCTGGCTCCGCGCGAGGAGAATCGCTGCCGGAATAGATAAGGCCTCGTTATAGCCCGCGCGGCTACATGACACACGCAGTATGGGCGATTTCGCGAGCTTCGGGGAAAAAAAACCAATAATTCGATGAGTACATTTCAATGCACGCCGCAAAAACGAGAATGTTCCGCAGCAGCGCTCGACCGTGTGCAGTTGTGTCGCGTATATCGCTTGGCTCCTCCGTGACACCGATTTTCGTGTTTAATAATCGTCGTTATACACACGATTTCCTTATTTCTTTTTTTTTCAAATTTTATTTCGTTTCATTTTTTTTTTTTTTTTTCGTTACATTCTTATGCAAATCGCGAGGCGAGACGCGTAACATCGTCGTTATTACGTAACGAATATCTTATTATGAATTATATAAATGCCTCGACCGGAGCGCGAAAATCCTCAGATAGCCGTTGGCCGGGTGTCGGATTGCAGGTCGCCGCGCGCGCGTTATAATTCTCCGGATCTCCTTCACACACACACACACACGCACACATACATACATAGATATAAAATATATCGTATCACCCGCGTACTATCTATCTCTCGTCATCGCAGTCGGGAATTATGCGGCGTATCCTTTTGACACTGCCGCGGCTGCTGCTGCTCGTCGTCGCAACAGCCACGACAGTATCAGCCCATCACGATCATCACGAAGCTGTAAGTTACACAGCTGTATAGCTCGCATTTAATTTCGTCAAATGTGCATAATATTTAATTAATTTTTTTGCTTCATTTTTCGTTATCGCGCGCGCGCGGCTGTGAAGTCCGTCATCGGTGGGATCAAGGGATCGAGCGGCCTGGATGGCAGTTTGAGGCATCACTCGCACGTCAGCCTGGGCTCGTCGCTTCACGGTGGACAATCCAATCGCGCGGCGGGGCTGAAATGGTCGTCGGAGGGCGTAGCCGGCCACTCCAGCGATCTCGGCGGTATGATCGACTCCGTGCTCAGATACCATCAGGACGTGAAAGACCGAATGAATCTTGACTTTTCCGGCTTTGGAAAGTCGAGCGTTTCCGGTCAAGGAAGCGGACAACTGATCGGTAACGGTGGTGGTGCTGGTGCCGGTGGAATCGGTTCTCTGCTCGGTTCAGCCGTTGGATCTCTGGCTGGAAAGCTCAACGTTGGTGGCGGCGGCGGCGCGGCCGATCAAAGGGCAACGATCGACGACGAGGTTGTTGGTGGTATCGGATCGCTGCTCGGTCGCGCGAGCGGTTCGGCAGGTCTCGTGGGAAATATCAACGTGAACGGTCGAGTCGGTGGTGCCGCCGAAACTGCAGGCTCGGTAGAAAGCGGCGGATCCATTGTAATCGTGGACGATGGAGCTACGAAGCAGGAATCGAACGACGAGAATCAAGAACTCGGCTGGGTGATCCCGACGCAAAACGTCGAGTACGAAATAATCGTTCGTAAGAACGACGACGAGAACGACGACGACAGGCAAGAGATTTTCGTGATTTTGGACGGATCGAAGGGAGAAGAAGGAGTTTCGTCGTCGATCCGAGCCGAGACTGGTCCGGAAATCGAACGATTAATAATATTGGAAGAGCCGAGCAGCAGCAGCAGCAGTAGCAATCAAAGACTAGCGGAACAGATATTAACGATCAAATCGTCCACCAAAGACGAAGAAGAAGTTCGAGAAGAACAAGTACCGATGGAGTCGTCGTCGTCGTCCTCGTCTTCGGCAGCAGTCGTCGTTTCCGTACTGCCGTCGTCCATCCTCTCGGAAGTTTCGCGAGTGGCCAGTAGTGGCTCGAGTGCGATCTCGAAGCCTCTGAGCTATAACGCGGCGGGGGGCACTTCCGCTGCAACAGCTGCCGCGGGGGGCGCCGACGCCAAAGTCAATCTCGGCTTGAACTTCAACAACTTAAACAACAACAACAACAATCAAGCCCGGAACAGCGAGGATCTTCACGCCTCGATCGCCGAGTACACCAATAATCTGAAGAACTCGATCAGGACGAAATTCGGTGGTGCTCTGGACGGCGGATTGAATGTAAAAACGAGCGGCGGCGGTGGTGGTTCTGGCCTCTTTAACCTCGTAAATATCATTTAATAAATGCTATTACGTACTTTTAACGTTAGAGTCGATTTCGATAGCGGAATGACGAAAAATATAATAAGATTAAAATATATACGTGAAAGAGCGAAGAACGAGCTTGGAAGAAGACTGTATGAAAGAAAAAAACTAATTTTTAGAAATCAACGAGCAGCTGCATAAGAATAACTGCGAGATGTTAAATTTCTGTGTGATTATATTTTGTAAATGAAACTGAAATAAAATTTAAATACGAATAAATTAATGAATTCGATTGCTTTTAATTGAGTAACAATACAATTGCGTCAGAGTGCATTTCGAAGCATCGGCTAAGAAAACTTCTTCGGTAAAGAACCCTGATATCATTTGTCATTTATTAAATAAAAAACCTCATCTCTTTTTTGAAAAGTAAATTATGCACTGCTAAAAATTCACGTTCGATGGTCAAACTATTTATCGGTATACAATTGACTCGAAAAGTTGAGAAAAATCTCGAAACCACATATGACATTACTAAAGGTAATATGACATTACTACGCTCGGTATCAATATAATCTATATATTGGCCCGTATATCATCATTATTGCACGTGTTACACTCGTGATCGCAAATATTGCCAAGTCACAGTGCCTCATTCATCCTCCGGGGTTGAGGTCGGGGGGAAAGGAGGAGGAGGAGGATATATATATCGCGCGTAATCGAAACGTCCACTCGTCGGTCGGCCGTAATAGTGTTTACGAATACCCACTCGAGAGACAGATCGTTCAATATACATACACAGAGGCACACACGTATACACAAGCAGTCGTCCTTATATACACCTGTTTGACGATCTACATCTCCGTATTAAAATACAGCATCGTGTGCTACGTATACGTATCGCATAATGGTACACATATACAGAGAGGATACGGCGCAGTTACGCTCGGCACACTGCTGTGTATATACTACCGAGAACTCGGCTAATCAAATTCCGGGATTCAGCAGCAGCAGCAGCAGCATCTGCTGCGCTATATATATATTTATCTCTCGATCCCGCCCCTCTTATACTGTCAACAAAATCGTTAATGGATACAATGTGGTAGGGCGATGCAGCAGCAGCAAGTTCAAGTTAGCCACGCGCGCTGTAGTGTACCGGGGAAAACGACTTAGATGTACTTCTGTGTGTGTATGTGTACATGCGATATCGACAAAAGGCGTAGTAGTAGTAGTAGTGGTGGCAGTTTGTATACAGGTATATATACAGAGAGGAGAGCGAGCAAAAGTCATCGAATGAAAGCTCCCGAAGCAACCGATAGTTTAACGCGTCTATATACCGCAAGGACGCCACCAGTTGCTTTGAGAAATTGCTTTGTACATTGTACAAACGATAAGCTTTCTCTCTCTGCTCTTGCTCCGTATGCATCTATATAGCTCCGGGCCGAAGCTACCCTGTGCACCGCGGCCCTGTTGCACGCGACCCTAGACATCGTGTACCTGCCGTGTGTGCGCGAATCCTCGTTACCTGCACACACGTGTGTGTGTATGTGTACGTGTGTATGTTATACGCGGGGTATTATATGCAGCTATATATAACGCATGCACTTCCTTTGCGGTGTAAGCTCATTATGTCGGCCATGCGCGAGCTTGCGAGCTTGCGAGGCAGAGCTCTCGTGATACACGTATATAATGGCTATGTATATGTAGTATATGTTTATGAGCAACAAGCGCAATCGCATCGCAAGCTCGATGAGCTACAATATATAATAATATATATAATAATATTGTAGATATAATACATACAGTCAGCTCTCGCGAGCTCGAAATTGTGTCAAGGTGTACGTAAGCGCGCGGGCACGTGCACGGCGTGTATGTGTGTGTGTGAGAGCTTTTGGGAATGCGTACGCGATAAACGGTGGTCGCAAGCTCGCAAGCTCGCCAGAATCACGACGAATGCTGCTACAATTTAATGCACGCGTATTATTATTATAATAAATACAGCGAGAGAGAGAGAGAGAGAGAGACGAAATGTATACACGCGCGTGTGTGTGTGAATAATATTAAGCTCTGCAACGGCGCCTTAAAGCCCAGCTGAATTCCCCGCGTATAATATAATGCACATACACAAAACGACCCCGTGCGCCGCGGCGCAGAGGTAGAGCTTCGCAGCAGCGCTCGACGAGCTATCGGTACACGAGAGAGAGAGACAGACAGACAGACACGAGAGTCGTACACGCACAATGTAATTGAATTCGCGCGGCAGTTTATATCATTATTTATGTATATACGAATGCACACGCACACACGGTAGTTGTGCATCGCGCAATTTGCTATTTATATATAGCTTATAACGCAGCCGCGCGCGGTATAGAGCGTGGCAGTAAATATAAGCGCGCGCCGAGCTTAAAAGTTTTTGTCCACACAGGGCTTTATGTATATGTATAAAGCCTCTCGCTGCGCTGTGTCTCCGTCGACTCGCTATACCTACTGTATCTATACGTGTGTACATAATCACGCGTCTGCTCCGTATATACAGATATACAATGTACAGAGCTTGCGAAGTGCAGCTCACACAGTGCGCGCAGTGATTAAGCGTCGGGTCGGTCGCTGCTGCTGCTGCTGCTGCTGCTGCCTCGAGTTGCGTGTTTGACGCGCGTCTTATATGTACCATAACGTAACGCTCTATAGGTATATATAGCAGTGGAGCTGCCTTAACTTCTCGTTAACGGCATATAGCGACGGCGACGACGGTTCGCAGTGTGCGGTGGTGGTGTGACGATAGAGCGACACTTCGTCTCGACTCTGCCTCTCTCTCTCTCTCGGACCTCGAGAACTCGACACGTGTTAATTACATACATACAGGGCTATAGTGCACGTACATAATATAACTCGTGTGGATGTCGTTGTCGTCGTTGTTTATTTCAAATTTAAAAACATCCATCGCAGAAAGGAGAGCGGAAATTTCATTTCCCCCCACTTACTTTTTTAATAATACTTTACACGAGTGCACCTACGTAAATACCTTCGTGCACGCGCGTGTACCGTTGGCGTGGGCAAAAAAAGTCAACGTCGCTTTTGACAAAGGAAAATAGGCTATACACACACGCGCGTGCAGACAGATGCAGATATTCACTGCATTGGCTCTGTATACAGAGAAGAGGCTGATACCTAATAAAAATATTTCGCTCGACGTGTACTCGGAATACACCCCCCGCAGGGAGAAAGCGAGAGAAAGATCTCGCAATATTCCAATATATATCGCACGCGTCTGCATTATGACGTACACTTGCGAACACATCTATGTATATAGCTGGTATTGTGCGCGAGAGAGCTCGGATACACGCACTACCAGCTCTGCGCGCACAAATCGCAGAAAGAGCTTTGAATGCACAAAAAAAAGGTCTTACGTGTACGTCTGTCTTCTTCTTCTTCTTCTTCTTCTTACTTCCATCTCTTTTTTCTTGCTTGCCTTCTCCCTTTCTCTCTCTTTCTCTCTCTCTCTCTCGCGCGCGAGATTGTGCAAATTTACAATGGAGAGATAGCGCCAGCTCCACGGCGAACGAGCGAGATCGGAAAAAGATAGAGAGAGAAGGAAAAACAAAGAGAAAATCAGAGAAAGAGAGAGAGAACGATCGGATTTCCATTCAAAGTGTAACGCACGCGCGAGATATCCCTCTCCCTTCCTCCCGCCGCCTTCTTTTTTTTTGTACCCATAGGAGATAAGAATCTTGATGCCAGCTGCGAGAAGAGAAGTCTCTCTCTCTCTCTCTCTCTGAAACGTGAGAGAGAGAAGAAGGATCTATCGACGAGCGACTTTCCTTCCGTTACGTGGACTATTGTTGTTTACAACGGTTATATAGGGTACATCCCCGCGCGCGGGCGCGGGCGGGCCGTGCATCGTCATCATTATTATCGTTATATATTTTCTTGGCTTGTGAAAAGTTATATATCCATCCGCGTATAATACGTACACGCGTATAACATTCGTACGTATATATCGATATAATACTCGAAAAGCAATAAATTCGCTCTCGAACAAAGCGAGCACGCACTGCAAAAAAGAGAGATAGAGAGGAGGAGGAAGGTAAAAGGCATACACGCGCGTACGATACGTGCCATCAAAAATCAGTCGCGTACGATTTCGTTTTGTTAATTGCTCGCGCGCGAGTCTCTCGGCCTGTATAATAATGATTTCGACTCTCGCACGCGCGTATAATCGAGTCAAAATTTGCATATTATCCTCGAAAGCTCTCGGCGAGCTGCTGGAATCGAGTATTGTTATTTTTTTTTCTTTATATTTTGTACGCGCGTATAAACCCGTGTGCTTGCGAGCACGTATGGATATATCAAAAGCCCTCGAGCCTCCCGTGTGTGTCTCTGTGTGTGTTTTAACGCTTGTATACACGTCGTTTAATATACCAGAGAAGAGATATATAGAAGTTATACACGTACGTCGAAGCACGTCGTCGTCGTCGTCGAGTGTACGAAACTTTTGAAAGTGTGTCACGTGAGGCGCGCCGATTGTCCACGCGTACTTCATACACATACACACACACACACACACACAGGAGAACGAAACATAAAAGAGAAAGCTCGAGCGCATGTGGCAGAGCTTTCATTCAAGCTCTCATGTAAAATATCGCTTTGCGAATGGAAGCTAGAGCGCACGAGAGTAAGAGAGAGATAGAGTCGATCGTCGCATAAGCTCGGGAAAAGCAGCGGCTCTCTGTCTCTCTCTCATTCTCTGTAATACTACATAAGGTCAAAAGTTCAAGGATCCGTTACAGAGCGATGTGGTGGTGGTGGTGGTATACGCGCGCGTACCCTGTGGAGAGTCTTTAATCACTGGATCATTAGCTCTCGCGATCATTCTTCCTACGTGTGTACTTGTGTGCGTGAAATGTGAATGTGCGTATGGGCACTTGAACGTATATAACGGCATTTGACGAATCACGCGATTACAAAAGCTGCAGCCACGGCCAAAGCTCTCTACTACTATTACTACTGCGTGGGTATAATGTCAAAAAGCTCGATATCGCGCGACCCATAACGATCTTTCTCTCTTTCTCTCTTTCTCTCTCACTGATCGTCCGGGAAATTTTACCTTGATTTTCTGCGATCGCGAACGGTGGGGAAATTCCCACGGGTCGCTCGCGCGCGCGCGCTTGGAACATGACTGCAAAGAGAGAGAGAGAGAGAGAGAGAAAGAGAGTCGGTCTTTGAATCCCAGAAAACGAGCGAATCGAGCTTATATAGACATTATACATCGACGTCGTAGCCTTTTGCCGGG